CCCCCCCCCCCCGAGAGCCGCGCGCGGGGAGGAAAGTTTCCAGCCTGGTATGCGCCGCGGCGAGCGGCTCAGCGTGCCTGGGTCGCCCCCCCTCCCCCAGCTTGCATTGTTTCCAAGCTGATTTCGCCTCCCCACCCCGCTTCTTGGCACTCGGCGCCTTCCAGCCCCGGCGGCCCTCCAGGCGGCGTGTTGCCCGCGCGGGGATGCAGCGTGCGATAAAAAGCGGGCAGGAGTTCGGGAAAGACGGGGGGAGCCCCATTGTGCTGGTTGCAGTGTGGGGGAGGGGGTGTCCTGGCTCATCCTGGAGTTGTCATGAAGCCCGGTGCATGCCTTGAAGAAATGCACTGGACAGGCATCGTGGGGGGGGGGGGGTCCAGTGCCCCCTGCTTGTTCTTTTGGGGTGAGGTGGACCCTGTGCTTCTGCCCCACACCTCCGGATCGCTGGCTTGAAACTTCCAAAAGTCCTCCTACCGCCTTGGCTTTGATGGTTGGGGGCTGATTCTGAGTGAGAGAGAATTTGGCCCCTCGTTCTGTGCGCCTTTTTAGTGCCGCTTTGAAAGGGAGGCAGGCGGGAGAGGATGCATCGCCACGGAGGTGTAAGTGGCTCTCTGTGATGCCCATCCTTGGCGGTTTCTCGCCAGCCCAGGTCTCCCTTCTGCCCCTGTGCTCAGCTGGCGAGGGGGAAAGTTAAAGGGCAGACGGAGGGGGCACGGCCATGGACGTAACAGGGAAGAAGCGCGAGCCTGGATTCCGCGAGGGCTTTCTTCCTGTGATCTTTCAGTCATTTTTCCTGATTTGAGATGCTCTGCTTGAATGATCTCTTTTTTAGGATTTGTGTTTGTTTATTTCTTTGCCAAGGATGGGTAGACGGTAGGGACTCAGGCTGAAGTTTCTGCATCATTCCTCCATTTCCAGAATGGGCATGCCCACATCCGAGGAGCTTAGTTCTTCCTAAGCTTGTTAATTCTGGCTCTTGACTCACAAAATAATGATGTATTTCTAGATGTATTGTTTAAGTCATGCTTTTATGAGTTTCCCTTTAAAAATATTCAGCAATTTGTAGAGAAAGGGGGAAGAATTTAAAGTACATCTGGGCAGTTCTGTCTCTTGGAATGTTTATATAAATGGTTGGGACAGGGCATGACCATTGTGTGATTCTTGGATGACTTTTTGAACAAAAAAGGTTGGCTGGTACTGCTTCCTGACACACAGATTGCTGCTGTTTGATCTACTGTTTGGAGAGTCTGGCCATCAAACTTAGAGCTAAAATTAGACAGCCTAGAAGTCTAAAGGGTTGATAATGGTGGCCTGGCACTTGAATCTTTGCTTTGTTTTATGAAGTCCTGGTTTTTAACCATGTAGGTAGGTTCCTGAAAGTTTTAAATATTTCTCCAGCCTGACCAGTGTGTGGACACTTTTATGGGAATGTCAAGCTCTTTCTTCTATCCTCACTGAATTAACAATGTGTGTGTACTCAGAAATATTTCACCCTTAAGTTCAGTAGGACATATTTCCAGGTACGTGGGTATATAGCATTTAGCAAACTAAATGCTCTTTCACATTTACTAAAGCTGTTGTGTAGTGACTATGGATTGGGTATCCCTACCATGGATCCACTGTGTGGCAGTATCCTGTGTCACCCTTTCTAATTTGTGGCTAACAATGCCAGTTCTGTTGTTGGAAAAAAGCATTATACAAGCTGATTGATTTCATGTCTATACTGTCCAATAGTCGAAGCTCTTTGGGTGGTTCACCCTGTGCATACAAACAAGTGATAAAAGACAACAAGGAATAACTGGAAGGGAGGGAGGGAAGGAGTGACTCTCCAAAACAACTGGTGGTACCCCTCAAAGAGGGCCCTTGTAACCTGGCGCTGAAAAGATGACAGATTGTGTGCCAGCAACCGCAATGGGGAAATTATTCCGTAGATGGGGAGCCGTCACTGAGAAAGCCCTCCCCCTCGTTCCCACCCTCTGCAACCCTCGGAGGACTGAGGATTGGGGAAAAGGCATTGCAGGATACAGTATAATGCATTATACAATGCAGATGTGTTGTATTCTTAACCCTTTGAATCCTTAGAGCTGTAAGTTACAGTTACAATGACAGGAGCTTAGTTTACCGGATACACTGAATGAGAGCAAAAGTGTCGGGAGTCTCCCCTCTCTCAAGCGACCCCTGCTATTCCCAGCGCAAGCTCCTGCCGCACTTTCTCAGCTCAACTCAGAGTGCCTTCCACCGTACGAAATCCTCAACAGCAATTGCTCTTTGCTCTTCGGGGCTATGTTAGCTACTTCTGCAAAGTAATCGAGAGATTGCAATTCTTTGCTTGTTACAGCTGTGAGTTTTCCAGTGCTGCGAATCCACCTGCCCTTCTCGTTTGGCATTCCTTTAATGTCTCGTACTAAAGCAAGCAGAAGTACAGGAGAGCAGTAGGAGGGAGCCACAGAATAAGGATGGATGGGGATGAGAGGAGCCAGTCATTTCTACAGGTGCTGACTGCTCCATGCCAGGTCTAGCCATACCAGTGTTGAGAGGGCAATACATTTTCCCTATAGAGGTTTGAGAAATGTATGCTTATTTAAAACAAAACACTAATTTAAAAGTAAATCCTAGTTTTATAAATCTAGAGTAACTGAACATATGAAGAGCTATTTTTGGAGCACGACCCATGATGCTTGTAGAGGAATGCTGTAACCTGTAGGACCTGTCTCCCTGTTTAAATATACCCATGATTGCATGATTATTTTATTTTCAAAAATTTAGAACTTTGGTTGATCTTATAACAAATGTAAGCATTCCTTATAACAAAGCATTTTAAAAGCTGAACATTTTCATTGGATGTTATTTGCTTAAGATCTGCATCAGTAGTTTCTTTTCCCTGTATAATGTTAATTTAAGAATTTCTGACAGCAAAATAGCTGCTGATGAGTTGTACAGATCAAGGTTCTTCCTGGCAAAAGTTTCCTCTCCACTGTGTTTTAACAAAACCTCATTTGCTCTCAGCAGTAGAGAAAAATGTTAGAAATGAATTGTCTACCAACTCGAACTTTCCATGAGTAATGTTCCTTTCATTTCATGATGGATTTACCTTATTGTCAAAGAATTCAAAGGTGCCCATAACTCCATTCACTGATGTCCCAAAGTACTTGTTAATTATTCAAGTTATCTTCATTTGGATGACATACAGGTGACTCAGAGTGCGGCACAAATACATTCTGAACTGCTAAGTGTCGGCTTTTAAACTAGCTACATGAGCCAGAGGGGGTTGTTCATATTTCTGTACAGTGGCTTGTTTGAGGGTCACAAGGTATCCTGGCAACCCATGGCTTGTTCTAAGGATTTTTGGACTCTCAGTGGGTTGGCATAGTATCTGCTCCTGGCACACTGGTTCTATTATGGGTCCAAGAAAGCAGTGAGCAAACTTTGCAGCGTAAAAAGCATGCTTTGGGGCTCTTGCTGCGCTCACCCAGGCCCCCACCAGTGACAGCTGCTGCACCAAATGCTCCAGAAGCACTTTCTAGTAACTGTCACCAGCTTGCTCTCCTCTCCCCGTTGTGATTGTTACCTTTTAGTGGCCATGGGGGTTTCCTTATAATCTCTTTATTTCTTCCTTCATGGGAAATTCCCCACACTCTCTTTCTTCCGCCTCTTTTTGCTGTGTTGCGACAGACAGCCCTCTTAAAGTGTTCCAACAGCATCCTGGAGGTGTAGCCAGTGTTTTCCCACCTCCTTCCTTTTTGCAGCAGAAACGTGCCTAAGTATTTTCAGTGTTTCTGTGTTATTTTTTATCTGGTAGTTCAGAGTTGCACCATCGCAGCTTGAAACCTGGCCTAGTCAATGCCAAGTGAAATCAAAGCCATGAGAAGGGCTTTGCTTACAGGATGGGATACCAAACTATCACAGTGAGAATCTTTAGGTTACACATGTGGACGCAACCGTTGTCAGTGTCACCCTTTACTGACACTCCATTTGTTTCAGAAGGTGGAAAAGTACAGCTAACCACTCTGACAGAAAAACCTTTGTTCGACAACAGTCAAAAATAAGGCTTGTTAAAAAGTGGACTACAGGCGGGATAAGCTGAATTTTATCACAGAAATGGTACAGACTTGTGGGGTAAGATAAATCCACTTGAAGACGAATATAGTACATTGGATAGTTTGTTATATGTGGGCTTCCATTACCTATACTTGGCAAATATTTTCAAAAACCCAGTGTGCTTTTTCATAAATTCAAGCAAGGGGCGATTTCTTCTGTCACAAATATCCTTGAAAAGAATGAAACTTTCAATGAAAGAAAGTGGGTTTGGCTTTCTGGACCTTGCTTTATATCATTGGGCCTATCCATTTAGATGACATTTCCCCCCATGGTCAATCTTGGAATCCTTTTTCAGATCCGCTCTGAATGCATGGCATCAGGTTCTCTGCACATTAAAATACTTACGGTTCTTCCCACAGTTACAGATGTTAGAAAAGTGTGGCATATAATGTCACACATCAATTATACTTTGATCCATTTTCTCATTCTAAATGCTAAATTGACTCAGGGAAATCCAGATTTGAAAATGGGCCCTAAAATGTTTTTGTGGTGGACTTGGCCAGAAAAGT